TTTCTATATATAGTAACATGTCGTCAGCATATAATGACACTTTTACCTCTTCTTTTCCAATTTGGATCCCTTTTATTTCTTTCTCTTGCCTGATTGCTGTGGCTAGGATTTCCAGGACTATGTTGAATAGGAGTGGTGATAGTGGGCATCCTTGTCTTGTCCCAGATTTTAGTGGGAAGCTTTTGAGTTTTTCACCGTTGAGAACTATGCTGGCTGTAGGTTTGTCATATATAGCTTTTATTATGTTGAGATATGTTCCCTCTATACCCACTTTGGCGAGAGTTTTTATCATAAATGGGTGTTGAATTTTATCAAATGCTTTTTCTGCATTAATTGAGATGATCATGTGGTTTTTGTCCTTTCTCTTGTTGATGTGATGTATTACATTGATTGATTTGCATATGTTGAACCAGCCTTGTGTCCCTGGGATGAACCCCACTTGGTCATGATGTATAATCTTTTTTATGTGTTGTTGGATTCTATTTGCTAAAATTTTGGTGAGGATTTTAGCGTCTATGTTCATCAGTGATATTGGCCTATAATTCTCTTTTTTTGTAGTGTCTTTGCCTGGTTTTGGTATCAGGGTGATGGTGGCTTCATAGAATGAGTTTGGGAGTATTCCCTCCTTTTCAATCGTCTGGAAGAGTTTGAGAAGGACTGGTATGAGTTCTTCGTTGTATGTTTGGTAGAATTCCCTGGTGAAGCCATCCGGTCCTGGACTTTTATTTGTAGGGAGGTTTTTAATTGCTATTTCTATTTCCTTTCTAGTGATCGGATTGTTCGAGTGTTCAGTTTCTTCTTGATTTAGTTTTGGTGGACAGTATGTTTCCAGAAACTTGTCCATTTCCTCTAGGTTATCCAGTTTGGTTCCATATAGTTTTTCATAATATTCTTGTATGATATTCTGTATTTCTATTTTGTTTGTTGTAATTTCTCCATTTTCCTTTCTTATTTTGCTAATTTGTGCTCTCTCTTTTTTCTTCTTTGTGAGTTTGGCCAGAGGTTTGTCGATTTTATTTACTTTTTCAAAAAACCAGCTTTTGGTTTGGTTGATTTTTTCTATGGTCTTGTTAATCTCTATTGTATTTAATTCCTCTCTGATCTTTATTATTTCCTTCCTTCTGCTGCTTTTTGGGGCTTTTTGTTCTTCTTTTTCTAATTGATTCAGGTGGTGGGTTAACTTGTTTATTTGAGATTGTTCTTCTTTTTTGAGGAAGGCCTGTATCGCTATAAACTTCCCTCTTAGCACTGCCTTTGCTGTGTCATGTCTTAGCTATTATAAATAGCTATTATAAATATTATAAATATAAGCTGCTGTGAACCTTGGGGTGCATGTATCTTTTCGAATTAGCGTTTTTGTCTTTTTTTGGATATATGCCCAGGAGTGGGATTGCTAGATTATATGGTAACTCTGTTTTTAGTTTTTATAACGAATCTCCATACTGTCTTCCATAGTGGCTGCACTAATTTACATTCTTGTCAACAGTGTAGGAGGGTTTGCTTTTCTCTACCCCTCTCCAGCATTTATTGTTTGTGGACTTTTTAGTGATGGCCATTCTGACTGAGAATTCATTATGAGGCCATTCATTATGAGGTGATACTTCATTGTAGTTTCGATTTGCACTTCTCTAATAATTAGCAATGTTGAGCATCTTTTCATGCGCCTGTTGGCCATCTGGTTGTCTTCTTTGGAGAAATGTCTATTTCAGTTTTCTGCCCATTTTTGGATTGGGTTGTTTGTTTGATATTGAGCTGTATGAGCTGTTTATATATTTTGGAAATTAACCCTTTGTTGGTTGCATCATTTGCAAATATTTTCTCCCATTCCATAGGTTGTCTTTTCTTTTTGACAGCAGTTTCCTTTGCTGTGCAAAAGCTTGTAAGTTTGATTAGGTCCCATTTGTTTATTTTTGCTTTTATTTCTTTTGCCTTGGGAGATTGACATAAGAAAATATAGCTATGATATATGTCAGAGAATATTTTGCCTACGTTCTTTTCTAGGAGTTTTATATGTCATGTCTTATATTTAAGGCTTTAAGCCATTTGAGTTTATTTTAGAGTGTACAGTTCAGTGGTATTAAACACATTCACATACTTGGGCAACCATCACAGCCCTTTTCATCTTGTAAAACTGAAACTATTCCTAGTAAATAACTCCCCTTCTGCCCCTTCTCAGCCCCTGGCAACTACCATTACACTTTCTGTCCTTACGATTTTGACTAGTCTCAGTACCTCATGTAAATGGACTCACACAGTATTTGTCTTTTTGTGACTGGCTGATTTCACTTACCATAATGTCTTGAGTGTTCATTCATGTTGCAGCATACTGCAGAATTTCCTTCATTTTTAAGGCTGAATAATATTCCATTGTATGTATAGACCATAGTTTGCTTATTCATTCAGCTATGAATGGACACTGCAATTGCTTCCACATTTTAGTTACTGTGAATAATGCTGTTTAGAACAAAGGTATGCAAATGTCTCTTCAAGACTCTGTTTTCGATTCTTTTGGGTATATATCCAGAACAAGTCAGAGCTGGACCATGGGTCCAGGGAGGGTGTTGGGAAGTTCCTGTGAGGCCTCGTGGAGGTCCTCCTCCAGGGCCTTCTCTTGTCGCCTCCCAGGCTCAGGGAAGACCACGCTGCTGGATGCCATGTCCGGGAGGCTGCGGCGCACGGGGACCTTGCTTGGGGAGGTGTTCGTGAATGGCCGGGTGCTGCGCAGGGAGCAGTTCCAGGACTGCTTCTCCTACGTCCTGCAGGTGGGTGCATCCTGGACCCCCGCCCCCCCTCACCCTGCCTGCCCATGTGGCCAGCTGGGGGCTTAGTGATGCTGACACGTCCGTCCCCCACAGAGCGACACTCTGCTGAGCAGCCTCACCGTCCGTGAGACGCTGTGCTACACGGCGCTGCTGGCTATCCGCGGAGGCTCCCAGGGCTTCTTCCAGAAGAAGGTGGGTGCCGCCCCGGGGCCACCCCGCAGGGGCTCTGCGCCCCCTGTTCCCTCCACTTGTCCATTCCTCCCCTTTACTCTTCACCCTTTTTTAAAGAGTCCAGACTTGCACTGTCCACTATGGCAGCCACTAGTCACATGTAGTTTGGGGACACTTAAAACGTGGCTAGACCTAGTTGAAATGTGCTGTGAGTGTAAGATACAGTCCAGATTTTAGAAACTTAATCTGGAACCACAGACTGAAATATCTCATTAATAATTTTTAAAATATTGATTATTCATCTAAATGATAATATTTTGACTGTATTGGTTAAATAAATTATACCATTAAAAATCATTTCACCTGCTTTTTACTTTCTAAAATGTGACCACTATAATATTTAAATTCTATCTGTGACTTGCATTGTATTTCTATTGAGTGTCCTGGGAGCTCTGTGTTTGAAGAGATATGGTTATTTTCCTCACTGCACTTTGCCCTGCACAGCAGGCGCATTCCCTGGGAAATGGGCTCTCAGGCCAGGGACCACAGGGACAGCGGCCTCAGAGGCTTTCCCAGCCTGAGGCCGCAGTGAGGTTCCTCCTGGGCACCCAGGTGACATCTGCAGCTCAGGCTCCAACACTGGCCTTCCTTTAATGCCACTGAGGCTCCCGGGGAATGCCCCATCTTGGCTCAGGGGACAGTAGGTTACTGCATTTTTATCAGGCACCGCCAAGCTGGTCACCAGGCACTGGACTCTTGGGGCTTGGCAAGTGGAACTGGGTCTGTCCTGTGTCCTGAGGACCGGCAGGCTTGTTTGTTGTAATACTGGGTCAGGAAAGGGCATTCTTTTCTTTCAGAGTCCTGGACGTGCTGGAGCTTTCACTTCAGAGGAGCCTTACAAGGGGCCGGCCCTTCAAGAAGGGCCATCAGCCCCAGAGCGAGGCTGGAGGTTACCTTAAGAGAGGGCTCAGGACGTGTTGCAGGTTTCTTGCTATTCTGCCAGCGTACGCTCTGGGCTCTCACACCTGGCTGGCATCAGTCAAGCCTTGTTCACACACAAGCTCTCACTTCATGCTGGCATCAGCTGTATGAGGGAGGCCTTATCTCCTTCTTTTACTGCAGGAAACCAACCCCCAAGGACTTTAAGATCCAGCCACTCAGACTGGCAGAGCTGGGACGTGAACCCAGGTCCTCTAGCTCCATTGTGCCTCCCTGAGCCCCCAGGGTCTCCTGACCACCGTTGTGCTCTGAGAAGACAGAGGTCAGAGTTCAGCCCATGGTGAGGCACAGGCATGTTCACCTGACTTAGCTGCCCTGACAGTGAGTGACAGGTTAGCCCTTTTGCAGGCTTTCTGTCTGCTTGCATTAGTATTTTTGTCTCTAAAATGGGCAGGAGAAGATGTCATTGGTATTGGGTAGGAGAAATGAAGTCATAAACAGATTCTTTCGAGTTAGTGATCCATTTACATCACATACCCCATGAGAGAATCTGAGAAAGCCACTGAGGCTTTCTCTCAGAAAATGCACGTATTTGCATAAATATTCAGAAAATGCAAGGGTATCTGACATTGATTGCTGGCAAATTTGCTTTCTGTGAATGGTCCCTCTCCCTGGCACTGGCAGCCCCTACATGTGCTGCCAAGTTTTCTACCATAAAGTTTTCACTGCTTGAGAGAACTTTCTGAGCAAATTCAGTCCACAGGGTGTAATATCCTGACGAAGTCATTTAGAGAGAAGAAAGTGCTGGTGGCAGCAGCGCAGCAGACCCGCTTCTGTCCTGTCCTCCGCAGAACCTGGATGTGGAGCCGTGGTTGATGTGGGCAGGCTGTGTCTGCTGGGCTGTTGGCCAAGTCTTGTGCTTCTTGGATGACTTGAGAGAACCCACACAGTTTACTCTGAGTCCCAGCTCTGCCGTTTGCTAAAGGTGTGACCTTGGGCAATCCACGGACCTGAGGATCTATTTTTCTTTTCTATAATAAGTAGAATAATAATGTATCTCTCCTGGAGCTGATGTGAAGAATGAATCAGTTTATGTGAAATCACAAAGCATGGAGAGGGTTGGTGATCCCAGTGGATCCCAGTGGTCCCTTCCAAGAATCTGTGAATGTCATTCCTAGTGGTATTTGCAAGACATGGCAGAGGCTTCTGGCCAGAGTGTGACATCTGAAACAGATGAAGTACATGTCTCCTCTGTCCATCTCTCCCAAGCCAGGAGGGGCAAGCTGTACTCCTTTCCTGCTGTTGCAGAGCAGGTGAAACGGACACCCAGGGGTGTGCCCTGGCTGTGAGCACATACACCCTGCCACGTCAAGTGAAGCTCAAGTCCAGGATCCTTCCCCTCTAACAGCAAGAAAAGACCTTTCTTTTTTCCCAGAACAAATCATCCTGGTTTGCTTATGCCTTTTTAACCTCCTCGTTATTCCTTTGTATCTATTGCAGATGTGTCCTTTCTTCTGGTCAAGCTTCATCTGTGGGTCCCACCCCCTGTCTCCTCTGGAACTTTGTTCTATAAATCATCCCCTCGAGACACAATCTTCTAAATATTTTTAAATTGAAGTACAGTCAGTTACAATGTGTCAACTTCTGGTGCACCACACAATGTCCCAGTCATGCACATACAGACTTATATTTGTTTTCACATTCTTTTTCATTAAAAGTTATTACAAGATACTGAATATAGTTCCCTGTGCTATACAGAAGAAACTTTAAAAAGAATCTATTATTATATATAGTGGCACAATCTCATTAGAGGTGTCTGGGGACAAAACTCATTACCAGAGATTTAAGTATTCTCAGTCTCTTTCTATCTGCTTTCCCCAGGGCCTTATGCTGATAGGGGTACTCAGTCAGGGGAGGGCCAGAGAGAGAGATTTCTGAAAGGGTCTCTGGAGAGGAGATAAGCCAAGGAGGGAAGCGGGAGAGGGAGGGAAAAGGCCAACCTGCTGGATTAGAGAGTCAGTAAAGAATTTTTTCAGTTGTTACAGTTTTGGGGAGCTGAGGAGTAAGGAGAGGGTTTCAAGGAGCTGCAGAATATAAGATAAGCAGAGTGACAAGAATTGAGGGGAAGGGAATTTTAAGAAGTGTGGCTGTAGGTTATAAACTGGGTTCCTTTTAAAGTCCTTGAAGAGATTCAAATAAAGATTGGCTTTATTTTTAATTACTTTTGATAGCTGGGTTGTATTTGATGCAAAACCACAATGAGATTGGACCACATGGGACTCTAGGACTGACTTGGGTTACTTAGGGGAAGCCAGGTTTAGTTTGAACCAAATTGGATTTTTTTAACTACAACATTTATTATAATAAAGTTTCAAAAACCAAAGATTAAAAAAAATAAAGTATATTGTAACTGCCTCCGGGGGCTTTTCTGTATGGGCTGGACTGACTGCAGCATCTGAAAAAATAGGAGTCCAACGAAGTCTCCATCCTGCTGAATTTCCCTGGAAGCAGGTAGAAGCAGTTTTTGTTGCTCTAAGGACTTCTGAAAAAAAAATCATATTATTTATTTTAACCTGATACAAATATTGTGATTTAAAGCAAATCAGATTCTGTTGTAACAGGTGTGCTTTCCCTAGGGCGTGGTGAGCCTGATAGTGGCCCAAGTAGTCAGGGGAAAGGTGTTGCCTTTCCCATGTGATCCTCAGCCCATAAATTGGAACAGTAGCCCAGCAGTGACCAGCCTTCTTGGATGTTGTGTCTCCTACAGGTGGAGGCAGTCATGACAGAGCTGAGTCTGAACCACGTGGCAGATCGACAGATTGGCAACTACAACTTTGGGGGAATTTCCAGTGGCGAGAGGCGCCGGGTCTCCATCGCGGCCCAGCTCCTCCAGGATCCCAGTAAGTGGGGCCTAGAACTGCTGCTAGCTGCTGCCTGGGCATCTTCCATGTGTCTACAGACAGTTTCAGCCCTTTCTTCACAGTCTCCCTTTAGAAAGGGGTCTGTGTGTAGCTGAAGTCACTGAGGCTTTTCCAACTGGGCACGCACTTTCTTTGGAAATACTGTGCATTTCCTGGTGCTATTCCATCATCCAAGTAGATGAAGAGCTCTTGGACTTGGAAGCACCTGGAACTTTGTATTTTGATGTTCATTTCGGGTCTTTCATGAATAGGGGACCTTGCCCTGTCCAGCCCCACTTCTTACGGGAGCAGCACCACTGTGTCTGCTGTGGAAAGCCAAGAGGTTTCAGTGTGACTAGAAGTGTTTATAAAATGGCAGGAATTAAAATAGGACTTTGAGTGGTACATGAGGAAGTGGATGAGGAAGTACATGAGGAAGGAGGGGCTATCAAAATGGGGACAGCCAGTCACCTGCCTCTCCTGCCTGGTTTGGTCACCCTCCCTGCCACCTGGGGAGACTCCACCTCTTATCCGCACCTGAGAGGGGACGTATTGCCTCTGTATACTTCCTTCACGGGGGCAGACCAAGTCTGCCTGCTCTTCAGAGAAACTAAGAAATGTTCTTTTTTATCTTTTTTTTTTAATTGAAGCCTAGTCAGTTTATAATGCTGTGTTACTTTCTGGTGTACAATTTAGAGCTTCAGTTATACATCTATGCACAGTCCTTTTCATATTCTTATTCATTCTAGGCTATTACAAGATACTGAACATAGTTCCCTGTGCTATACAAAGAGATGTTCTTAAGAGACCCTGTCCTTTTTGGATGGAAATAAGCTGGAGTGAAACCCTCTAAAGAATCGGAATGCCTGCCTCGTCTTGCACTTTGTTTCATGGGTCAGCTTTTTGCAGTGCAAAGACCTGGCTAGTGTTGGGAAATTCTAGACATGAAGTGAGATTGGCCTTTTACAGTCTCCCTCAGCCTTTTAGAAACACCTTGGTGCCAGCCTGCCAGCCCTTGTTCCCTGTTAGGGTTCCCGGGATAGACCCCAAACAGCCCAGCAAGCCACGTGGCAGGCCTGCTCTGGTTGCCGCCCTGTCTCCTCAGGGATTAAAGCCAAAACGTGCCCTGGAGCCAGGAGGTGGGCCTCTCGGGCCAGGTGCTTTCTCCTGGGCTCAGGCTGAGGTGCTTCTCACCGTGCACTGTCTGGATGGGATGTGACAGCTCAGTAAGGAACTGTTTGGAGCTCTGAGTCTAGAGCGCAGGGCCCGGGGCTCGGCAGCGACTCAGGATCTGAGCTTCCTTTGCCTGCAGAGGTCATGCTGTTTGATGAGCCGACCACAGGCCTGGACTCCATGACTGCAAATCAGATCGTCCTTCTGCTGGCAGAGCTGGCTCGCAGGGACCGCATTGTGATCCTCACGGTCCACCAGCCCCGCTCCGAGCTCTTCCAGGTGAGGGGGCATCTCTTCCAGCTCAGCTTGTCAAGGGTGGGTATGTGTGTGCTGGGCTGGAGGTTTCGGGGTAGAAATGAGTACTTAAACCGGAGCAGCTGGAGCCGCTAGCTCCTGATACGGGAAGGGAAAAGAATGGAAACTCGGTTCTTTCAGCACCTGCCATGTACCGGATGCCTTCTCCACACTAGCTCATATAATCTACACAAAAACCCCATGAGGTGGACACCAGTGTTTTCACTTTACAGAGAAGAGTGAGACTTAGAAAATGCCAAATTGAGATGCTATCACAGTTAACAAAAAGCTGGAATCAGCCTTCATGGTCCAGTTGGCTTTAAAGTCTGTGTTTTGCCTCTAAATCATATAGATTTCCTTCGAGAACTCTCACCTTAATCTCCCAGAATCCTTTTAAGGAGCTCTTCTTTGCCTTTTATAGAGATTAAAAACAAATTGTTTTTGTTCAAGGTCCCTCACCCAGGGGCACGGCTGGGACTCAAACCCTGGTCCACTGACCCACTCCAGTGGTTCTCCTCCATCCCAGATGCGATGCTGGGTGCAGGCTGGGGTACAGCAGGGTCCACGGTGGCCACCCACGCTGGAAAGAACAGGGATGCCTTTGAGTGGCGCCGATGGACGCAGTAAGAGTACTGCTGTATGGCTGAGACAACCAGAGGACTGACCGCTTGAAACTTACTTTCCATAAGGATGTGGTGGTGACCTGACAACATACTAACACTGTCTACTGTTCAATCAGCTCTTTGACAAAATCGCCATTCTGAGCTGTGGAGAGCTGGTTTTCTGCGGGACACCTGTGGAAATGCTTGACTTCTTCAGTGGCTGCGGTTACCCTTGTCCTGAACATTCAAACCCTTTTGATTTTTATGGTAAGTTTTTCTCCCACGTGCCCCTTCATAAAAGTCTTTTAAGCTTTATCAACTCAGAGTTTTGGCCTGGATAACACCAGCACAAGTGGGTTTAACTTCTGCTTTGGTTTCAGTGTTTTTACTCTTCAAAAACTTAATTTGGCCAAGTCAATTAACCTGCCATAGGTGACCTATCGGAATGAGATGGAGGATCTCTCTTGAATTGGGGAACTTCTACTTTGTCAGAGAAAAATTAACCAAACTTCTGATTTTATGGGTGGGCATTAACAACAGGTGTTATTTTGATGCGATGAGGTATTGTGGCTAGAACTCCTGAATCAGTGATGAAACATGTTATTAGCCATTGTGTATATATGTGCATTTAAAAACACATGGATCATTTGGGGGGGTGGATTTTAGTGGACCTGACATCAGTGGACACCCAAAGCAAAGAACGGGAAATAGAAACCTACAGGAGAGTCCAGATGATTGAATCTGCCTACAAAGAATCAGCAATTTATCACAAAACCTTGGAGGATATTGAAAGAACGAAACACCTGAAAACATTACCGATGATTCCTTTCAAAACCAAAGATTCTCCTGGAGTAATTTCTAAACTGTGTGTTCTTTTGAGGTAAGAGCCACACCCCATTTCAGGTGGGTCGACATCCACCCATAAAAGAAAAGTCATTAAAACAGGGTTGTTTGGCTTTCAGGAGAGTGATGAGAAACTTAATGAGAAATAAGCTGGCGGTGACTATGCGTCTTGTTCAGAATATGATCATGGGTTTGTTCGTCATTTTCTTCCTTCTGCGGGTCCAGGACGATGTGCTAAAGGGTGCCATCCAGGACCGCGTGGGTGTTCTGTACCAGTTCGTGGGTGCCACCCCGTACACAGGCATGCTCAACGCTGTGACCTTGTGTGAGTGCCATGCCCTGGGGCGGGAGGCTTTTTTCTCCCTGAATGTCTGCCCTCTCCAACTGGTACCTTGCAAGTCTCCACCATTATAAGGGCATTTCTCTGAGCTCAACCTGGCCCTCTCCAGGTTGTCTCTCTGGGGCAAGGTGACTCATGAATTACTAACACCTTGCTAGGAATTAACTCATCAGGTGGATCTCCCTGAGGGTCTCTGAGGATCCAGAGAAACATGATGTAATGCGGAGCTGACGAGGCAGAGTTTGGGAAGGGTTCTTCAAAAGAGCATCCCTGGTATCCTGTCTTAGTCATTAGGAGGTGCGGCCCATAGGGCCCCGGATGCCTGGTTAACTATGCACTGTGAATGTTCTCTTTGGAGCCTGTTTTAGGACAGCCAGCACCTGGTTTTCAAACTCATGGGAGCCCAGAAGCAACACCTAGTTGCCTGATGTTCTGTGCCAAGACTGCATGAGAAGAGGACACATTGCCTTATGTCACTCATTTGTGTCCCTTCTGCATATGTGTTCTTGAATTGGAGTCACCCTTCCCCCTACTTTAGAGAGAAGGAAATAAATTATGACTCCTTTTGTAATCACATTATAATTCAGGTAGAGTGGAGACTTCGGGGTGGGAGGTGTTATAGTTCTATGGAGGGCAGGTCCCCTCTCTCCATGACTAGGGAGCCCCACCTGGTCCTCACCATCCAGTCCTGATAGACCTCAAGTTCAGCTTGGCCTAGCCCCCATTCCCTCCCCTCACCCCAGCTGTGTGGTGACCGGCTGTTTTGAAACCTGCCTTCCATTCCCAGTTCCTGTGCTGCGAGCTGTCAGCGACCAAGAGAGCCAGGATGGCCTGTACCAGAAGTGGCAGATGCTGTTGGCCTACGGGCTGCACATCCTCCCCTTCAGCGCCATTGCCACCGTGATATTCAGCAGCATATGCTACTGGTAAGGAAGAGGGTGTTCAGAAGTGTTCATTTCTCACAGGCCACGCCTCCCATTGGGTCCTGGATGGCCAGTGGGACCTGTGGAGGGAGAACTCCCTGGCCTCTGCTCTGGAGGGGCTGGCTTTGCCCATCAACATTCAATATAGTGTCCTGTCCTTAAAAGAACCCCACTGTGGGCCGCAAGGGACCTGAGAGCAGACCAGCAAGACCGCCGGTACCAGGGAACGGCGGATCCCACAGTCACTGCAGGGCCTGGGCGGAGCGGAGGCCTCTGAAGTAGCTGGGGCCCAGGCGCAGGGGCCGCAGGCACGCGTTCGCCCAGCTACGCCCGGCGCCAAGGCTGCTGTGAGCTGGAGCAGCAGTGCTGCCTGAGGTTCCACTGACTGACCTGGAACGTCGCGGTTGGGCTGGGGTGATGGGGAGCTGAGGAATCAAGAGTGACTGTGGGAAGAGGGCACTGGGGAGCCATGAAGCATCCCTGATGGTGGGTTTTGATTAATGGTTTGCAGACCATGCTTTTTATTTCATAGAACTTTTAAAAGATAAAAAACTAAAAATATGCAGAGCTGTTTGTATGATATGTTATCGTAGGGAGATGTATCTTCCCTCATCCCTGTGGCTTTCCCTTAAGAAAAGATGGGGAATTGCCCGATGTTCTGTGACACCAGTCGTGAAAGGTAGCCAGCCTGTCGTCCCAAGAGAGGACTTCAGGTAGTTCTGAAGACATTACCTTCTTCAGGCCACTGGATTCATGTGCAGGTGCTCCTGCCCATAACCAGTATAGAGACCCCATGATACGTGATGTGGATAATTACGATGAATCGAGTGAGATGTAAGTAACAGGCCAACAAGGCCTGGCTAGTATGAGCTCCCAGGCGAAGAGCAGAAGTTCTTGCCGCAGGCTCTCAGAGTCCGTCCCACCCTGGGGAGTGACAGAGGCCCAGCTGCTCGCTCTGTTAGCAGAAGGGTGCACTCTCAGCTGAGGGCAATGAGGGGACGGCGCCTTCCTTGCTGGCCCTGATGAAGCCGCCTTACTCTCTGACACTCAGAAACATGCTGGGTCTCTGATCTGTGATGTAAACCACAGGCTCGTCTAGTTCAGGTTAAATGATCCAAGAGCAAATTTTTAACAGCTGACCACTTTTGAGTACAACAAAGCTGGCTGAAAGTTAAGAACCTTGTTAATTTAGAATCCTGTGCTCAGTGGGGCCCACGGACCCAGCCCAACCGCGACGCCCCAGGCTGGTCAGCAGAACCTCAGGCAGCACCGCTGCTCCAGCTCACGGCAGCCTTGGCGCCGGGCGTAGCGGGGCGAACGCGTGCCTGAGGCCCCTGCGCCTGGGCCCCAGCTACTTCAGAGGCCCCCGCTCCGCCCAGGCCCTGCAGTGACTGTGGGCTCCGCCGTTCCCTGGTACCAGCGGTCTTGCTGGTCTGCTCTCAGGCCAGAGTCAGCGTTACCTCAGGGCTTGTTTATCACGCAGAATCTCGCGCCCAGCCCTACTGAATTGGATTCCGAGTTTTACAGGGTCCCCTAGGTGATTCATATGCACTGTAATATTTGCAAAGCACTGATTTTGAAGACCTGGTATTTGTAAAACTGCTCATGAGACAGAGTTCTGTTAGACTTGAGAAGACAGGGCAGTTTTAAACTAGGTTCAGTGTAAGCATCCGGTCACGACTATTTCTGATAAGAAGTCAGACACAAACACGCAGGAGCAGGTCCAGCGGCAGCACAGCTGTTAGCAGTGCAGCAGGTACTTAGAGTCAATGACGGAAACGTTGCTGAATGCCTGTGAGGTGCCGGGCTCAGGGCCACGTGCAACAGGGAGTTTAAAGGGGAGTAAACTGAAGGGGCCGTCCTCAAGTCTGCCGTTTTGAACCGGAACGGCTCTCAAAGCCAAAGTGTTTTACAAGTCTTAGCAGCACATTGGACCTGAACTCACTCCGTGGCAAAAACTAATCTGAACCGACTTGAGGTTCTGTGTACCTTTCCCACAGCAGCACTTCTGTTTAGCAGAAATATGAATGTGCTTGAATCCAGGTGGAGTCCTGGGCCCTACTGTAGGAAGGATGGTCTACACAGTGTGAAATTTTTCTCTGATTTGTAAATTGCCATATTCCAAAACATAACTGGCCCTAAAGTATTTCAGATGATGGATTGTGGACAGAAACAAATCTCCAGATGACTTTAATTTGAAGAAGTGTAAAATTAATATTGTAAAGAAGCATAAACATTATGCTGAGGAATATAATAATAGTAATAATGGCAAATACATATTGAGCACTTGCTTTATGTCAGGCACTAAGAGGTTTAAATATATCAATTCATGTAATCCTTGCCACCGTTCTATGAAGGTGGCATTATTAATTCCCCTTGTTTGAAGATGACAAAGCAGAGGCACAGATGGGGCAAGTCTCTTCCCCATCTCACGTTCATTATCCCAGTTAATTATGAAGGAGACCAGGGGTCCATTTGGTTGGGCGGGGAGAGGGACTACTGGAGGCTTAATAGGGGAGAATTTGAGAGATAAGCAACATTTGAATAGATGGAAAAAGGAGCAAGGGCGTTCCAGAAGGAATATAGAAAGAGAAGGAGCATAGGTTCAGAAGCAAAACACACGAGCTCTTTCCAGCGAAAAGGCTCAGTTGTGCTGTGGTGAAACGAGGACTGGAAGGAGTGGTGGAAAATACGACTGGCAGCCTGGGAGCCTGGTAGGAGAGGGGCTTGGATCAGATATTGGGACACAGTAGAAGCTTTTAAACCAGGGAATGACCCATCTGTGTTGGGCTCTGGAGGGTGAGGCTGGCTGGCATCACTTTGGTAGCAGACTGGAGATAGGGCAGAGACGCTGGGCAGCCCAGTGAGCAGCTCTGGCAACAGTTTGTGGGAAAGTCAGAGGCCCTGCTGAAGAGAGGAGCAGTGGCAACAGAAAGTGGGGATCACTTTAAGTTGCTGGGAAAGTAGAATCCAATGGATTCAGGAACCAAATGGACTTGTTGAGGCTAAAGAAAGCCATGGATGATGCCTGAGTTTTCAGCCTGGGGGACTGGGAAGGTGACAGCATCCTTATCAAGTCTGCCAGGAAAGAGAATGGATGTGGTTTTGAATACATTGCATCTGGGATGCTACGGGACACCCAATTAGAGGTGTCCATATGAGGTTTGGGCGATAGGTTGGCGTAGAAAGAAAAGATAGGAGTAAAGACCTGGGAATGGATTCTATAGGAGAGAATAGAGGGGAGGAAGCGGTCTGAGTGTAAACCCTTATGAGGCACATTCAGAGGGTGGGAAGAGGAAGGAGATCCAGTGACAAGAGGCAGAGGGGTGGTCAGAGAAGTGGGAGGAGGAGCAGGATTGGGCAGCATTAGAGAGGCCGAGAGAGGAGAGAGTTTCAAGGCGGTGCAGCGAACCCGTTCAAAACTGCAGAGGTTCAAAGAGGTGAAGCGTAAGATTAGAAGGTTATTGGTGATCTTCCTAAAAAGGGTTTCAGTAGACGATGGGGGTGCAAGTCAGGTTTACAAAGGATAGTGAGATGGAAGAAGCAGGTGCTGTTTGAGAAGCTTGGTGGTATAGGGTAGGATGAAGAGGGGGCAGTTGCTTAAAAGGTGATCAGACTCAAGCTATGCTATTTACAATATGGTAAGACCACCAGGGAAAAACGTTAGATTGAGGGTAGATGAAATTATAGAAAAATTGGATAATTCACAGATCAAGTTTCCAGATTAGACCAAGGTAGGGATAGGGAAATCAGGATAACAGGATCAAAGATGCAAGTAGATAGGATGAAGCTGGAGAAGCAGACAGAAACAGAGAGGGACGAAGCAGATAAAAAGGGAAGATAAAGATAGAAATTCACAAAATGGGAGGTGAATCCATCTGCTGAGCACTGGGGAGAGAGTTTGAAATTCCCCGAAAAGAGGGTGTAATTGAAAGGAGAAGTTTACATTAGCTGCCGCTGGAACCCAAAAAGCGAGGAGGAAAAATTAGGGATTTATTGGTGAGCTGAGGCAAAGTGGCAGAGTGGATCCATTTAGTACAACTCAAGTGAGAGAGCAAGGGTCTGCGGCTGTGGGGATTGGTAAGGCACAGAAGAGCAGAAGGGAGTGAGGATCTGAGGCAGTGAGGAGATGGGAAATGGGAGACAGGAGAAAGGCCATGATCAGAAAGGGCATTTTCAGGATCTGAAATCTTGGAAGTAAAACAGTTTGGAGTAACAAGTAATATTTAAATCCAAGACATGGTGAGTGAGCAAATCGGGTGGGTGGAGCCACTGGAATTGATGAGGTTACCTAATTAGGAGGCACTGATGTTGATGGCTCATCAGGGAGGTTAAAGACCTTGAGGGTAATGATGGTGGGCAGGAGTGCAAAGACTGACCTTGGTCCAGAAGCTGCAAAATCATCAAAGGTGAGATAGTGTCTTAAAGTCATAGCGGACTGGACTGGGGCAGAGAATTAATAGTATAAACAAATGTCATGATTTGTACAGGAGGAAAGGCAGATTGCCTTGAAGAGTGGGGGGAGGGGAGTGGATGTAAGACATGCCAACTCTTCTTCCTTACTCTACAGATGGAAGAGCAGCCATGTCTAATGGTTGTTGAGGACATGCTATCACCAGGGAAGTGTTATTTGGTGAAAGGACTGTAAGAGGTTAAGGGGCATGGATGTAGGGTAGCTTGTTTACAAGCACATGAAAGTCAAATCAGTGGAAGGCACTGGTAGAATAAAAGCCAAGAGTGGAGCGGAACAGGCCTGGGGAGGGCTGATCCGTTGGAGGATGAGCGCGGCGGAGGGTTTCACGCTGGCAGCAATCCCACGTAACAGGGGTGAGGTTTAGGGAGGGAGGGGCTGAGAAGCTGGTTGGGTGAGTCCTGAGTGCTAGGGCACTGGCTGGCCCAGGGAGGAGCAGTGCTAACGGCAGAGTGTGGATCCTTATGGAGAAGCCTGGATGGTTCAGCCCTACGCATAGCAGTTAGTTGTGACCATCGTCTAAGTGTGAGTATTTTTCTGTGAGAGTTGAGCTGTAAAAAGGAAAAGGTGTCTCCACTGGCTTGGGGCCCAACAGAACCAATCTGCGGTACTAAATGGCCCCAGCTGTTGGCTGTGCTCCAACAAGCCCTTTCAAAGGGGAGTTTGGCTTCCCCTGCAGACTCTTCCCACCCACTAACCACCATGGATTTCTTCATAGAAGGCAAGTGTGGGATTTTTTTTAAATGATAACCCCTGGAGAGAAACTAAAGACCGTATGTTTTTCTAGGACTCTGGCCTTATACCCTGAGGCTGCCAGATTTGGATATTTCTCTGCTGCTCTCTTGGCGCCCCACTTAATTGGTGAATTTCTAACTCTTGTGCTACTTGGCATGATCCAAAACCCCAACGTGGTCAACAGTGTGGTGGCTCTGCTCTGCATCGCTGGGGTGCTTGTGGGCTCTGGATTCCTGAGGTAAGATCTGACAATTCCAACAACTTAGACTGGTACGACTGGATGTTAGTGACCTCCTGATAATGATTATTATAAGGAATTCCAGAGGCACGCTCTGTGATACTGTTGCTATGTTACCTGACAGTCTCGAGTGTTTATAGAGCTTGCTAATCATTATTGTTCAGTCTTTGCTCACTATTTATTTATTCAATAAAATGTCTTCACAGTGAGAATCAGGAAGTGACAACTTAGGTATGTTATCAATATGACTCACATGTCATAAGCCATTGTTAACAGGAGGAGAACCAAACTGTCATCCAGAAAAACTCACAGCCTATTAGAGGCCAAACAGCAAACATTTAGTTCATTCCTTCCCTGGCACCGCTGAATCACTGTTTTAGCTCTTAATTCCCAGTTACTTTAAGGAAGTAAGGATAGTCAGAAAAGAGCCTGAAGGATAAGACTGCTCAAGAAAGTATCAGGACGAGGAGGACACACACCAGATGTGAACAGTAATTACCTCTGCGTGACACTTAGTTTTTTCTTCATATTTTCCTGTATTTTATGAATCTTCTATAATGGATAAGCATCATTTTATAATCAAGAAAAACATACGCACATAAATACATACGTCTTAAAAAAACAGCAGGAAGTGTGGAAAATTTCAGAGGGGTGAGAGTGGTCTCGGGCAGGTGATGCGAGTGGGCTCTAGTAAGTAAATCTGGGTCTCTGAGAAAATGAGAAGGTGATTCTGTTTCTTTGACTTAAAAGTCAAATAAACAAAAAAGCTATTGAGCGGCTACTATATGTAACTATATTGAATTATTTAACTCTCAGAGCAATCCATGTTCAGGTAAGAAAACCAAGTTCAGGCTTGACTCTGTGGGGTCACAACTGAAGACTCTCCCAGGAGGCACGTGGCTCCCTGGAGCGAGGACTGACCTTGGAGTCAGTCTTCCTCCTACCATTTAGCTGCTGAGTGGCCATTGGCAAGTTACTTTTTTATCTAGTTTCTTCACTCATAAAGTAGAGATAATCATCTCAGCCCCACCTGCCTCAAGGGGTCACAAGAAGCAAATGAAGTCATCAGCATGAAAGAAAACACCTTATAAACTGTAGGGAGTTATAAAAGGTGAACTGTTATAAAGCCAAGTGAGCTAGGTTTTGATCAGTCAAGGAGGATTTTTTTTTTTTCACAATGACACCATTACATTGTATCTGTCTGTGTTGCTTAAGTGGCTTGTTAGCATCTATGAAAAATGAACAAATCAAATCAAATCACCCCAGTGGCGTAAAATCAAGCCAGCAAGTTACAAACCCAGGCTTGAGCCGTGTCTCTTCTTTCATATTTGAAACATTATACATGTTCCAATCAATCTGAAACTATTTCATATATTTGGTTTATAGGAAAAGGGGATTAATTACTCTTAAGAGGGAGGCAGTGGCCAATGTTACCAAAATGCTCTTGGATCCTCTGCAAAATCTCGACATCCCACGGCTTCACCTGGGTTCCACTCCTAGCACTGAATTGAAACTCTACTCTTGAAGACCACATCAACTTCCTAGTCATTAAGTTTTAACTTTCCTCTCAAGTCACCATCTTTCCTGACTGCCTGCAACATTTGCACTTTTGGTTGCCTCCTCCTTTAAACACAAATGGAAATAACTTTCCTGTTCTTTCTGCTTACAAAATAGAGATTCTTTGGGGGAAAAAATGCACACAAAACAGAAATGTATAAAGAAGTAAAAGTTACCCGAAGTATCACAATACAGAGTTAAATTTTGTTGTGTATCTTGCTAGACTTCCATATAATCTTTAATTAAAATGAGCTCATACTAAAAAAACAGTTCATACTATTGTGAAGGAGTAAAGCATGCATGAGTTTTTTCTCTCATTGAACAATATAGTGTGAATGGTCCCATGTCAATAAATGTAGATCTGTGGGTCCTCCCTCTCAGATGTACTGCAAGGATTTCTGTGACACAGCTTGGTTCTCCTCCCGGGTCTTTACTGATCCGTCTGTCTCCCTCTGCCTCCTGTCGTTCCCTTGGCAGGACAAGCTCTCTGAAAGCCCCCATGTTTGGTCTCACAGCCCATCACGTGGTGCTTGTGGTGCAGTCTTCCTTTGATCGACTGTCTCCTGAGGGCAGCAGCTGTGTCTCCTTCCTCATTATAGCTCTTTTCAGTGGCCAGTCCAAGGCCTTTAATAAGGTTTGCAAAAAATATCTGCAATGAGTAAATAAATGAAGGACTCCTCTCTCTTCTCAGACTGCCCACACACTGATCAGTCACTAAATCATGCTGGTTTTCTTCTCTGATGTCAAAGCACAAACGCATGTGGAGCTTTTGCGCTTGCCCTGTGCGGTGCAGTACGAGATGAAGGCACACGGTTCCTGCCTCGAGGAGGTGACACTCTAGACGGCTGGGCGGCCATCCTCTCGCGGCCATCATCCTATTCCAGGCCTCTGTTATCTCACACTTGAACTTCTGCTGTAGCCTACTCACTTTTTTGCTGTTCTTAATCTGCCCTTATTCTGTTCCATCCTCCTTGCTGGTGCCACATTAATTTTCTTAGAACAGTGACTGCAGTGTGATCTTTCTCATGGTCCTTTCAGTGTCAACCCACTGCAGGGCCCTGAAACAGCTGGTTTCCAGCTACCATTCCAAGCTCACCTCCCACTGTTCCCACTTCCGATCCTCTGCTCCAGCTTTCCTAGTCCATCCAGTCCCATGAGCAGCCCTTGACATGCCTGTGTTCACACCATTCTGCCTTCTTCGTGCCCTTCCTCTTCCCCTACTTCCTCCCTAGGTTCCTATCTGTCCTTTCCTATTAGCAGCCTCTCCATGTGACTAATTCAATTCTGTGCCTCAGAAGATTGCCAATAACTGTAGGTCATGGAGTTTGGCGATCCCTTGGGAATACATGACACCGTAAATACTAAATACAAGAATGTCATGGACATGTGGTACTGGTGTCCTATACCTTCTGGGAACAAGTTGTTCACCACTGTGTATTTTTACGGTTTTAAGGCTATATGGTCTATGACCCCGAACTACATTATGATTTCTTTAGGGGAAGGATACTTTTTTTGACTTCTCAAGCACCTATAACTAGTGCTTTGCCGATAGAACTTAATTCATATTTGTTGACTGATAGAAGCTATATAATGGACCAAGGCCACAAGGTCAGCATTAAGTTTCTCCTGAAATAGGCTGAAGAGGAGGCATACTTCGCTCACAGTGAATGTCTGCTTGTTCTCTCCAGCCTTTTCCCTTTGTATTATAGTTTAGTTCTCACTTCACACACTAGTGCTCTCAAATCTCTGTTTAATACAAATGCCCTCCTCTAATGTGATGTGTTTTGGGTGTTTTATCATTGGTGCTTACCAATAAAATTAGATACCAGTCCATCATCAGGGGATTGTTAAATTAAGGTTTCTACTATAATGGACCACCAAGCTGTGATTAAAAATGATGGAATGCTACGCTTACTGACTTGAAAGGATGTCTGAGACATGTGTTTGTTTGAAAAAGCAGGTTAGGAGAGAGAATGAAGAGTTTAATTCCATTTGTGTAGAATGCTATAAATACACATATTACATATATCACCAAAATGTTAACAGTACTTATTTCTGGGCAGTGGTATTTCTTGATTACTTCTCAGTGTTGTTTGAAGTTTATTTTTATAGTGAGCATAATCTTTTATTGTAGTTGATTTACAATGTTGTTTTAGTTTCTGGTGTACAGCAAAGTGATTCAGTTTCATATATATATGTATATATTCTTTGTCATTACAGATTACTTACAAGATATTGAATATAAGTCCCTGTGTTATACAGTAGGACCTTGTTATTTTATGTATAGTAGTTTGTATCTGCTAATCCCAAACTCATAATTTATCCCTCCCTGCCCTTTCCCCTTTGGTAACCGTAAGTTTGTTTTTCTGTGTCTGTGAGTCTGTTTCTGTTTTGTAAATAAGTTCATTTGTGTCATTTTTTTAAGATTCCACATATAAGTGAAATTATGTCTTTCAAATATGAAGATATTTGTCTTTGTCTGACTTACTTCACTTAGTATGATAATCTCTAGGTCCATGCATGTTGCCATTTGTAAATGGCATTATTTCATTCTTTTTATGGCTGAGTAATATTCCATTATATATATATTTTTATATATATATAACCACACCCTTTTTATCCATTCATCTGACAGTGGACATTTCGGTTGCTTCCATGTCTTAACTATTGTAAATGGTGCTGCTGTGAACACAGGGGTGCAAGTATCTTTTTGAATTAGTTTCCTCTGGATATATTCCCAGGGGTGGAATTGCTGGATCATATAATAACTCTAGTTTTATGGGGACTCTCTGTACTGTTTTTCCATAGTGGCTGCATATGGAATTTCCATAGTGGAAATTACATTTCCATCAACAGTGAAGGAGGGTTCCCTTTACTCCACACCCTCTCTAGCATTTAACGTTTGTGGGCTATAGTAAGCATAATTTTTATAACAAAGATGAACAACTATGTATATTTCTGTTGGGAAACATAAGAGATGCCTTTTTCATTTGATAGGACTGTTACCAGAGCCTACTGAATTTCATCTTTCTCTCTCTCTGCTTTTTCTGAAGAAACACAGAAGAAATGACCATTCCTTTTAAAATCTTTAGTTATTTTACATTCCAAAAATACTGCTCTGAGATTCTTGTCGTCAATGAGTTCTATGGACAGAATTTCACCTGTGGTAAGTATTCTATTTTGGAATTTATTTTTACATATTACTTTGAGAAAACAATTTCTTGAGGGAAATGTATTTGTAAACTAAAAGCTATATTTTAAAATATTTAAAACCTTGCTTTGAAATAAGAGTCTAACATTTTCTCTGATTTTTAAGATAAATCAAGCAAGTAGTCTAGTCACCTGTCAAAGGTCACTAGCTTAAGGCCACTCTGATGTTTTTAGAAAATGACAAGCCCAGTGCAATATACACTGAGGTAAACTCCAGTATATTGTAGGTGGAATCAGTTCCTCCAGCTACTGAACAGGCTGAAGCAGGTTGCAGTGGCATCTTGTTCCCCAAAGTGTACACAGTATATAGCTAAGTAAAGCCATTTGTGGCCAAAGTCTGTTCCCTAATCCCAAGAGATGGCAGTGGGAGCACAGTAAGGCCCTCCAGGCCATTGCAAATCCCAGGCCACTCTGTGAAGATGAATGAAGAACAGGGCAGACCTTAGTAGCTGTTGTAAATATCTTTGGGTGATAACATTAGTAACCTTGGGATATTCAGTACTGTCATGATAATTGTTATCAGTACTGTGGTAATGTAGACCCAAAATGGCCCCAAATACTCACTATTGCTTCATATAATAATGAATTCTGGGCTCTCTAAAATGTCCTGTATCTTTATGAAGAAGGATGCTAAGCATTTTAGTGGGCATTTGGTAAATACATGTTGACTGAATTACCTTGTAAGCACCATATTTGACATTGTCAATCTTTTCCCCACAGGCAGCTCAAACGGTTCTGTGTCAACTAATCCAATGTGTGCCATTACTCAAGGAACTCAGTTCATTGAGAGAACCTGCCCGGGTGCAACATCCAGATTCACAGCAAACTTTCTGGTTTTGTATTCATTTATCCCAGTTCTTGTCATCCTAGGAATAATTGTTTTTAAAATAAGGGATCATCTCATTAGCAGATAGTACAGAACACTGCTGTGAAAATGAAACGTAAGCTCCTAGATGCATATGACTGCTTTGAATTTCTGAAATAAGAATGCCATGTGGTTCTTAATAGTATATCTTAAATCTGTTGACCATTAAGACTCCATCTGTGCCCCTTGGATCCATGCAGGCCTTCAGTGCTATTCCGACTTGTCGGGACATGTGGTATTCAGCAATTGTGACTGAGCTGGTCCAAAGATGTAAATAAGAATAATTCATCAAGTTATGGGAGATCAGTGTGACTATCTGTTTTCTTTGTTCTAGACACAGAAAAATAGATCAGTTAAAAATTACGCTTACAATTGATAAAGGATTTGGTAAAAAAGAAAACATTTGCATGACCATTGACTGTAAATAATAGAAAAGAGTTGTGGGTTTGATTGAAGCAAAACATGCAGAATTAGGTAAGACTGCTTTCATTATCATTTGAAAACCTGTATTTATGTGCACGTGTCCACGTAAGTTACCTGATTAAATGGAGAGGATGTTGGGCAGATTTTGGATGAAGACCCCTGACACAGAGCATTCACTGATTTTATTGAAGGTTAAAAAGAAAAATGGCAGGAATGGGCTGAACTGAGAACACAGCACACCGAAGTGATTAGTTTGCTATTTTTCACTTTCCACTTAGTTTACTTACGAAATGAAAAGTAAATGTTACTAGAAAAGTGTATGCACTGAGAAATGACATTTCTAAGGTTGGAGAACAGCTGTTTTTTAAAGTCCATATAGAAAAGATGCTCAACTGACACATTTACACTAAGAACAGTTACACACTAGGAATTCATGTTCTTGAATTTTAAAGAGAAAAAGTGCTGATAAATACATATTTTTAGGGATGAAATGATGTATATAGATTATTAAAAGTGGGTTCTGGACTACATGATTATCCTTCTGAAATGAAACTGTCTCCATGTTACCATGGTAACTTTGAGGTATCTTAGAGTACATGAACTGAACAAGTTACTGTGACCTACCTTGTAAAGAATGATAAACTATAGCATTTGAAATGTCTCACATTATGGTAGAAAAGATCATTTCATTAAGGAAACCACAGTAAAATTCTGTTTCTTAGAACAGTATTTAAGGTTCTGGAGACATTGGTAAATTACCAGAATAGTATTGTCAATTTTTATAAAAGGTCTTTGACACTGATGATTATGGTATAATAGTTACATAATGCCTTACAGATTATGTATGTCACATCAGTTATAGATAATTCTGGAGATGATAATCTATTAAAGTAGTTCAAAGAGAGTCCCACAGGAATCTCTTTTGAAATCACTGATTTCAACTTGCTAGAGATATGGGTGTACAATGTAAGTGGAAGCATTTTCTACTATTCATATGCAGATGAATTTCATTGTAGCTCAGAAACATTTGGAAAATGACATAGCACGTGACTTCAAGCTATTAAGTGTTAGTGATACCATCTTAGAAAAACGCAATGACATGTGACAGTTTGTGTCTCGAGTTGAAAATGGACAGTGATGTGTAAGACAATCAAATTATATAATAAAAATGCCTATTACTATTGTGGAATAGGATGTTTCTTCCCACTAAGTCAGTGATGTTTCTGAAATCAGAACGCTCACTGTTAATTTAAAGGGAGCTCTTTCTCCACAGCACTCAGGCACGACGCCTGTCTAAGACTGGTTCCTTGGAGGCATGCTGAAAATTCTGTTTTCAGGAGTATTGGAACCACATGCACTGTGACTAGTTTAGGAAGTCTTATTTCTTTGCAATAGCCAGCTAGTTTGCTATCCACTCGGACACCACTCATCAATCTTGGTATTCTTGGGTTAGTTAAGTGTGCGTATTTGAAGCTGAATGCATGGCATGTTAGAGTCAACATATGTTATAGTGGAAGGAAGAACACAGAATAAATTACTTTCCTGTTTAATAACAGCAATTATGCTTACTCCTAACTGAATCTGGATAGCAGGTACACAAATCTATGTGAGTTAGAAGGCTTCTTAAAGGTATTCCACCTTGGAAATGATCTTGGTTATTACTAACTCATACAGTTTTGGCCTGCTATTTGATAGAGTATCTCCTTACATTTGCCTGTTCTTCAAAAAGTTTTACCCAAAATAAGTACGTCAGAATCACCAGAGGTGCTGATTTAAAATGCAGGTTACTAAGCCCCATTCCAGACCCACTCATTCAGGGTTTCTGGATGTAGGGACTCAGGAATGTGCGTTTTAAATGAGGACTTCAGATGCTTCTTGTGCCGCACTATTAGAGTAAAAAGATGACACCTGTGAAAGTGAACCCACTTCCAGTTTCCTACCAGACGCAGCTGAGGACTCCTTAGAGAAGGACCATGTCTAATATAAACGCTTAACCTTATACTCACAACTGTTACTACTAATTGCTCTGCTTTCGTATTCCTGGAAACATAAGCAGGAACTTATCAGTGCTGAACCGGGTATACACTACTTAAACATGTTACAGGTAAGCAGTGCAAAGTTCTTTTTATTTAAAAAATATATTACATGTAATTATACAATTTTTTTCCCTTTTAAGAGACTTAAAAGTATCCATGGAGTTGCACTAATATAAGAAATTCCACTTTTCCTTTAACAAATTACACACCTAAACTTTCCTTGCTTGTTACTATAATAGTTAATAAAAAAATATTACTTGTATTTGAGGAAGAAGAAATAAACACACCATAGTTGAATGAGGTTCAAGAATCAAGCTCAGTTTGTTTCCAAGACTTGGAAGAACTTCTTTTGTACTGTTCCAGTTCCTAAAACAAAAGTATGTATTTCTTTAAAAAATTTTAAATTTAAACAGGCACCTTAAAACTGCCTTACCATTTTTTGCCTATAACAGTGTATCCTTTATAGCATTATCATTCCCAAAACTTCTTGACAGTTGTTTTATAAATGATTATACTTAGGATTTATTTTCTAGAAATATAGAGTATTCAGAGTTTCTGTGTAGCATGAGCAGGAGAGATGAATTTAAAGTTTCAGACAGAATTATATACTATTTAGTACATATGAACTTTCAACTAAATGCATTTATCATATTTTAAGTATATATAAGTGATCTTATCTTTAATGGTTTGCTGTTAACTTGTGTCAAACTGGCTGAAGTTAGCAAAGTATCAATATTTAAAATGTACATATGCTTTGACCCAGTGATTGTACCTTTAGAAATTTATCACGCAGAATGGCAGAGAAGAGCACACGGGTGTTAACAGGACACTCACTGCGCTGCACACAACTGGAAACAACTTAGGGAGCTCCCATAAGTAAGGACTGATTAAATACATCAAAAGCAACAGTGGTCCTGTGTGCCACATGAAAACGGCAAACAGGTGGGGAGAGGGCAGGACACTTCTATTTTCTACTTTATATACTTCTATGTCTTTTTTTTTCCCCACAATGAGTATATGTTACTTTTACAATTCATAAAACAAAGATAAATTTTACTAGGGGTGGAAATCCTGCATGAGCTGACTGACATGCAAAAGGGATCATCTAAGGGGTTGCCTCCTGGCCTCTTACACGTTGCTCAATGTCTAAGTAACTGTACAAAGTATGTTACTTCAGATAAGCAGAAAGTGGTTACTCTGCAAGATAAGGCAATCACTGCCCTTTGGCTAATGTCACTGAAGTTCATAGTCGCTAGGAAAAGAAAATTCCATTCTCATTTTCAGAAAAATTGTAGATTGTCTCTTTCATATCTACACTCTAAGTTATTAAAATTTAAACATTGAAAGTTTCAAAACTGTATAAAGATTTTGGAAGAATTCTTAAAGTATTAATTCCAAAGAAGTCTTTATAGCTTGGTCTATTTTTTTCGAAAGAAGTTAACTCAGTTCATCAGTTACCTTACCAGAAGCTTATGGTTTCAAAGATTACTGTTCATTTATGAGCTAATAATCAGTTACCATAAACTTTGTCTTGAATTGGAAGTGCTCAATTATTTTTACCAATGGCAGTGGTGAGGACATTGCTTTGAGATTCTTGGCTAGCAGACTCTCCCTTCCAAAGACAGCAGAGAATGGGGCTGGTCGCACCAGCCATGCCAGAGGGAAGTTGAGTAACGCGTGGTACAGAACTCACCTGTCCACTAGGTCTCCAGGATGTGCGCAAGTGACCTCACAATTATATGATGGTACTTTTTCTTTACACTGCAAATCTTCATGGCCGCGTTAGAGAGTATTTTAAAAGAGAAAGCAAAACCAAGAAAGGTTTCCACCCTGCCTCTTGAAAGCCTCTAAAGTTTTCAAATATAAATGGGCCACAGTCTGATAATACCTAAACAGCATCTTTAATTAAGAACAATAAGAACCTTTCCCCCTAAACATGCAAACCTGTGTATGTGTGTGTTTGAATTATAGGCCTAGGGATTATAAACAAGTTGATTTTTGAAAACAGGGTTTCAAAATAGATATGTATGGTTGAGCAAGAAGACCTTAAAAATAATTGTTTGCCCAAACCTTTTCCTTTTTTTTTATTTGACAATAAAAAGGTAGAAAAGAGGGAGAAGGGTTCAGCAAGTGCTTTCTATATTCATTTCCCTTAAAGTCAAGAATCCTTTAAAACTAGAGGGCTTTTAAAAAATAGTAACTACTGAGAAAGTATTTTCTGGTGCTCCTGTGAAGTCTGGCAAAGAGAGTTAATGAAGAAAGACACTTAGTCTGCAGGAAAGGTGAAAGGGGTCTTAAGACTGATCCTCAAACCCGTGAGGACTGACTGTGAGGATCCTCGTGCATCTGTGGGGACCGGGAGCAAAAGGGATTCTGGGCAACTGCCCTAAATGACGTGTTTTTCTACGAAGGACTTATAGTAAGGTATCATGGAATACTGCGGCTCAGTGTCTCCCCACACTGGCGAGATTCTTTGACAGCTGTATGGTTTAAGTGCAGTTCTTAGGGGCGGAGGAATGGACATGTCTTTCTTGCCTAATGATTCTACCTGACTTGGGTCTTTTTGAAAGGCCTAAGCATTAGAGGAACTGAACGGAACTCATGAGTTAGACTCCCCATCTTGGAAGTGACGTGCTCTAATTTCACTACCAAAGCTTATGGGCCCTGATCTTTCTGTTTGATTCCTGATTATTTAAGCCACTAATAATTGGGCTTAGGGATGGGGAGGGAGTCAAGAGGAGGATCACATCTGGTCTCAGACAGGCTCAGGGCCAGCCTTCCACCCATGCAATTGGGTTATATTTCAGTGAAACAGGAGTCATCTTTCCTCCTAAGAAGTACAAGAAGTAATTGGGTTAAAGGTATGCAGACAGGTACAGAGTATAGACTTCTTTAAGCATTTACAGGTTGCTTCTAGGTTAGGACATACTTTTGTGTAATTATGGAAAACCCTGAGTGAGAAATTTATATGGATGGTTCTGATTTATTTTGATAAATCAAATCTAAAGACTATAACGCTATTTTCACTGAAAAATGTTATGTGGCAATAATCATATTAAAAGATCAAAAGGGCAGGCAGGCAATGTTAAGAAAGAGCTGTAGACCAGATTTTCACCTAATGCAGATTCTTTTATAGGTTGTGTTAATAAAACTGGCATTGACGGTCTTGCCCATATTAAAAATGAAAATGTATTGTTAAATGTTTAGAGGGAAAGAGGGTTCTTTCAAAGTTAATCTATAGAGAATTTTCTCATACCTAAATCAGCTTCTGTGTGTACCAGTTGGCAACTGGAAAAAAATGTAAGGCCCTGAAACTATTTTGGAAGAACATGAAAGGATATACAAATTTAAAATTTTGGCTATTAGAATGCCAACCTTTGGATGTGGAGATGAAATAACTGAGCATCAACTGGTAATCATAAGGGTGACTTTAAAGCAGAAGCATAAAATTATGTGACGGTACTACATGTGCAAACTGAATTCAATGCAATTCATCCACTAAAATACTATGAAAGAAACTGATTTAGAGGCAAAATTAGGATATAACTTTTCGGGTGAGTTAAAAAAAATCTCAGGCAAGACAGTATAGTAATTAGTGAGGTACAAAGGTTGAGTGAAGAATGATACAGGTGTTGTGGGCTGCTTTCCAGTTTCACTCAAAATTTGTATGGTTTTAGGTCAGTTAGGGAAGATGAATTTGAATATGAAAACTCATGACACTCAGAAATACTTTTAATAATACCTATATGTATAAATGTAATAAAAGGGACCACTATATAATACAGATACTCTTATCAACAATGGCGGTTAGTCACTGACTCCTAGTTAAATATTAATTCAGAGATGATTTCCAACTAATCTCTAGAGCCAAGCTGCACACATAATAAGGGTTACATGAGGTCATTTTACTAATCCTACAACACGCCTTTCCCTTTGCTACAGCTAAAAGCCCTCTAAATATTCATGACATGTTTTTCAAAAGTCTTCTGGACTATATTCAAATAAAACATTTTGTTAATTAATTATAGGGCCCCTGAAGATGAAAGGCTAGTGCTGAGAAAAAGGCCCTGGTCACTGTCGTGGTGGTTGGTTGCATTCAGGTTACACCTGCAACAGTGTGACTGGCCAGGCGACACAGCTCTGTAAATCCCACCTGAGAGGTGATGAGGGCACTCAACTTACGGTGGTTACTGGTGTAAGGTCACAGGCTGCATGCACAGAGTCTGTTTTCATCAAACCAAGAGGAGATCTTGGAAAATCTAAATACTGGACCATGATGAATTTACCACCTTTTGCATTCTTACTTGTGTATCACAAACGGTGCTACCTGGGCATATATGGAATGCAGTCTCCACTT